TGAGGGATCAGACCTAAAACCCTTATTGGCCAAGCCCATTGGCCTATATGCCCATGAAAGGTGTCAACCAATCAAAATCCGTCCTGCAGATTCTTCTGGAACATTCTTCCATGTCATACAACCATGAGCATCAGCAACACACATGATGGAGCACCTTATGCCATAGTGGAGCATCATGATGTGCAAATGGTGCATCATGAAAACTAATGGCCTAACATCCATCATGATGGCACAACATGGTGTAATCCTTGAGCAATACTAACTTCTGAGCATCCTTGAACGATCTTGAGCATCATAGAGGACTTCATAGCATACTTGTCTCATCAAGGACCAAGATGGTCCAACTTATGCCATCATGGAACACCAGGAATATGGATGGCACACGAGTCTTTAAGTGTGGCGCAAGAACATCAAGATTTGAGAAACAACACCACCATGGCGTAACAGAAACATGAATGGCGCAATAAGGCCCATGCACAAGAGGGGTCCACATGTTGCATGAGGAACCCCTCATGGCACAAGAGGGAGTATAATGGCGCAAGAAAGGATGTCATGGCGCAACAACATCCTTCTTGGCCCATCCCTTCACCATATGGTGCAACAAGGTTCCCTTGTTGCTCCATATCACTCCTAAGTGCTCCAAACCTCTTCCAGATGCTCAAAACCTCCTTCTGTATGATCCATTCCTTTGGCACTTGATTTGTTCCTTTGTCAGACGACCCATTCCTTTCTCAGATGATCCGTTCCTTTGTCTCATGCTCCATGAACCCCAAGTGCTCCATTGAGTTCCAAGTGCTCCAAAATCTCCATGAACATGATACAAATGCTCGAGTCACGTTTAACATGTTCTAGAGGGCTCGTGGGAGAAAGTAGTACAGAAAGGGAAACGTGTCGCAATATTTCTGGGTTCTTCATTTCAGGTGAGTTTTTCTCACTATACCTATGGGTCGAAGGAACTAATACCGACCCACTAGTTTTGGTTATCATCTAGTAGAGGGATGCCATAGGGTTGTATGTAGTCACACAGGATGGACTGAGGACTCTTGGTCTAGCCTTTATTGCATGTTCCTTGTTTTGTTATGGCTTTTGAGTAGGGTTATCCAGATGTCTATCTTACCTCTAGGTACATATGCTTATGCATTTTTTAGAGATTGGTTATATGTCCTTGTGTATATGATGTTGATGTGGTGTAGTGATCTGCTAGCTATATTTATATCCTTATATGTTAGGATGTAGCGGTAATTGTACGCTAGTTAGAGTAACAGTAGGTTGGTTATCATCTAATGGTATGCCCTAAGGGTTGTATGTAGCCATGTAGGATAGCTTGAGAACTCTTGATCTAGCATTTTTTGTTTGTTCCTTTTTTGGTTGTGGCTCTAAAGTAGGATCTTCTGTTCGGGTGGATATCTCACCTCTAGTTACTTATAGTTATGCATTCCATGGAGATTTGCTGGTAGCAAAACAGTGTGCTGTGAGGGACCTAGTAGGCAGTAGTGAGTTGTATGTTTGGTAATTGCATGTATTTATGTTCCAACTTGATCCTTGATTGTTTATATGTCGACATATTGTGGTGGATGAGGTTGAGATGGTCATTTTGTGTGTTGTAGGCATACCAGGTGCGGGGCTGGCTGTAAGTCGTAGGCACAGAGACTTGGGAGGAACGGTTTGGTTGAGGCGGCAAGCCAACAAACCATGGGCAATCCCGTCGGGAGACTACGATCCTGGGGTAATGCAGTCTGATGACTGTGGACCCGATATGCATGCTTATATGTTTGTTGTGTGGGGTATTTTAGGGGAACTCACCAAGCTTCATGCTTACCCAGTTGTTATTGATTTTCAAGTATCATCAGTTATCATGGGAAGGCGAAGGCGTGACTGTAAACACATTCATCATCAGCAATGAAGATTCTTTGTTTACTATAATACTCCGATTTTAAACAATGTACCTTGGAACAATTGGTTTTCTTAACTTGTATTCTAAAAATGAGCAGTTCTACCTTAATCAAAAATGAAAAATTTTGATATGAAAATGGGATGTTACAGTTAAGCCTTCATTCTTGTCATTTTGCACCCAAAACACCCTCATACCCAAGCTCTGTCAATTTCAAGGATGGGGAAGGATCAAGAGGCGATTTTGGGTTTATATGGCTTGGATTATAGAAGAAAAACTCATCAAGTAATCAATTTAACCACTATTTAAATTATAGTAAGAAAGCTTGTTAGTAGTGTTTAGATGCCTTAAACAAGCTTGTATGTGATTCCCATGGGTGGGATCAATCCAATGAGAGTCCTAACTAATGACTGTATGAATCGATGCATTAGATGTAGATTGTAATTAATTGAGTAGTATGGGATGATTAATTCATTAATTAGATGAGAATGAGATATAGAGAATGAAGAGTTAGAATGTTGATCCATTAAGTGGTCATTTTGACCTTAAGGGTCATTAAACTCTTAATAGGCTAAGATAAGTATTAAGATACTTGTGTATGTATATGAATAGGCCTAAGAGCAAAGAAGATAGATTAAGATGCATCAATGGCATAGTAGAGGAAGATATGACAATTAGTCTTCACTAACTGGTTAGGTGGGTTATTACTCTCTTTATAAACCCGTTGGTAAGATCAAGAGTAAATATTATGGTTATGGATAGGACAACGGGTTTGTAAGAAGAGAAAGAAAGATTAGAGAAGAGTAGCAAAGATAAATTAAAGAAGAGAAAAAGAATAGCAATGTTTAATATTAGAGAAAGAGTTAGATGATAGAGTATGAGAAAGAGAATGAAAGATAAAAGAATAACTCATCAGACACGTTAAGTTAGCTGATAGAGTATGAAAAAGAGAATGAAATATTGATAAGGAAAGACTTTATTTATGTTTTGCAAGTTCAGGTAGTAGCAGCCGTGGTACTAGAAGAGAAGATAGGAGCACAAGGAAGATGTAGATAGTAGGTTGTTATTTATGTATTTTCCTTGTTGTTCTAATTTGTATGTAAGATTTTATGGGAAACCTGCGATTTGTTCTGGGATGTAAATGTTTTAATTAGTTTAGAATTCCGCACTTGTTAGATAAAACTCTGATATATCCTTTAGAATAGATGTATACAAATACGGATCGTTACATGTTGTCTGTAATTAATATTTTTTTGGGTAGATCTGACAGTTTTGTATCGAAATCCATCCTCTATACTTTTACGCCTAGTACTAGTTGAAGTGCTTCTTCGTTGTTGTAAATTTGAAGCACCTTTATTGGACCAGTTGGGTTTTGGCTGTGCGATGCACCGTTTGTATATTCATGGTCAGGATAGTTCGGTATATCTGGCATACCAAAAAATAGCCTTTGTATATGATTGTTAACTACAATCGGCCATTTAATTTCAACATCAATTCCCCTATGTTTGATTTTGATTAAAGCAACTTCATCTCTTGGCTCATCAATTTCTATGAAATCATCATTTCCACCTTCATTATGACAGGTACCATCGTTAACATCATCGTTATACGTAACATTATCAGCATCACCGGAGTTTTGAAAATTTACTGTTTCAACATAATGAATTTGTCGGTCTACTAGCATTTGACGTGGAAAAACTGTCATTTGAAATGGTGTTGCGAATTGAATTGTTGTTGAACATATGTTCCATGTGTAACATATCCACTAACATAGTGAGGATTATTTAAAGAGATGCATACCAGCTTGATTGTTGCTACCTCTTCCGTTGGATATGTTCTCAACAAAATTATTTCCTCTTCTTCTACCAGACCTTCTTCCGTTGCTAGATCGGTTCCCAATAACAACATATCAATTTGCGGCATTGTCAACGCTACTAAAACGATGTCATTTTCATTTTTCAAAAAAAAAATTAAAAAATTGCAAACCAACCATAATTTCGCAGAATTTATGGCCAATTTGGTATTTTCCATTTTTGTGGCTATTTTTTTTTGGTAAAACATAGAAATAAAATTTATTAGGCTGGAGGGAGTGGTAACACTCCTAAAACCTTGCTACCTAGGATTTTTTAGTTTTTTTATGACACGTAGGCTTAGCATGTATAACATAAAAAATGTAGGGAGTGGTAGTGTTTGATTTTAAATAAGTTTTATTTTGAAAAAGAAAAGAAGAAAAAAAGAAAAAAAAAAACAAACAACCAATAGTTTTGCAGTCAAAAGCTAAACAGCCAATAACAACTCAATAATCTTTCTCTCTCTTCTCGTTGAGTAGACAACGAACCATAGCTAGCGACTCAACTAGCGAGTCTTAAGGGAATGGTTTAACATTGCTTGGCACTCTTTTGGCGAGAGGGGTGGCGAGGCCACTCCCTCTAGCCTTATGGTCATTTTCTCATAATAATATGGTATTTTAGGTTTGTTTAGTATTTTTTTAAATATTATATTTTGTGAAAATTGTGATAACATTAGATCTCGTCCAACATAGATCAATTAATGCTACTCGATTACATTGAAAACGGTGTTCATATGGAAGTTTAAGAGTCTATCGGTTAGTACTTACTCTAGCTAGATGGCGACGTTTGAGATCGTTAGAGCTTAGAAGACATCTCAAAGCAGACCTCAAAAGTAAAAATATAGCGAGTTTATAATCTCACTGCCACTACTCACTTTCCAAGTTAGTCGTGGCACGTCCTCCAACTCATTTCTTCAAGTTCGTCCCTCCAGGCTTCTTATTAAATCTTGTAAGCATTTCTGTGCATCATATACGTACAGCTTGTACATTTTTCACTTACAAGTAATTAATGTGCATAGTTTTCCAATATTCTTTATACATATATATATATATATATACCCCTTCTTCTCGGATACACATTATGCTGTATATACGCATTAATTTTACAGTCGATTTCAAGCTCTTTCTTGACGAACTTGAATGGCAAGAGATGCTCGTAAGCGATACTGAGACGTGGGCGTCATTATTGTGAGAGAGAATGGAGTACAAGAGTTTGAGTTTATTGTTTTAAAAAATGAAGGGTGCATGGTGTTTGACGTTATGGTGTTTGAACAATCTACATGCGAAAAACATTACCCAAATCTATTTGACGAGATGGAAGGAGAAGAACCTCTGACAGAATCTGAAACGATCGGTACACATAGTAAGCAGACTATGCTTCATACATAGCTTGTACAGTTTATTATGGTAATTTTTTTTCCATATAGCAGTTAATTCATGGGTTGTTGCTTTAATTTTGGTCGACATTATTGTTTTTTGAAAGGACCGAAGAAGGTAAAAAAGCGAAAGAGGAACGATTATGCATATGAAGACGAAGAAATACCTCAAGTTGGTAGTGGTTGTTTCATTGGCAAAATGACACCTTATGTTTTTAATAAGTCAAGATTGGTTAGTCATCAACCTCATCATAGGTCAAATGAGATGCTTTTCAACTTTAATTTAATATGATTAATGTGTGTATAGTACTTAAATTAAATTTTGATTACTTGAACACGATTTTATGGAAAACTACTATTGGAAAAGCTTTTGTGTTAACCCCGTAATAACATTAATCATATATACACGTTTCTACAGCATGTTCCAGTTAAATTTGCAAGATCAAAAGGATTGATTACCCAGAGGATACACAGACAAGTGTATCTAATGGATGATACACGAAGAACATGGCCAGCAACACTCACGAAAACGAAAACAGAGCTTTGTTTAACTGGTTGGCACGAGTTCATACTAAAAAATCACATGAAAGTCGGAGACGTGTGTAGGTTTGTGCTTGTTAAAAACGGAGAATTACCTGTTTTCAAGTGCTATAGTATGTATCTTTCTTTCCCTCTTCATACATAGCTATGTAAATCCCCTTTAAAGCTCACATGATTTGCTTGCTTATTCAAGATATAGGAAAGAATTTAGTGAAAAATCATATTCAAGTAAAGGAGACTAGTTCGACTCTTAACAATCACCCATACTTCATTTCAAATCTGAAGCCTACTAGCTTCAAAAGATCATTTCTGGTAATTTTTAGAACCCATAACTCTTAAGGTAAACGAAATAAATTTTACATATTCATTTTAATCACTTACATATTGCGGTGCTTCTAATTTCAGTATCTTCCTGTTGACTTTTGGATACCAAATCGTTTAAAAGCAGGGGAAATAATTCTTAGAGGCAATAAAGGTCGATCATGGAAAGTTGAACTGAAGAAAGCTAATGAGAGACTTTTATATCTTGGATCCGGATTCACACCTTTTCTAGTTGCCAATGGAATGAAGGAAGGTGATGCATTCAAGTTTGAGCTTGTCGAGAAAGAGGAGGACAAGCCTCCAATAGTCAACTTAATGTGTACGTTATTTTCTTTAATTTGGATTTAGTTTTTTCTATTCTTTGTATCGATTTAATTAAAAAATATGTTTATACTCTCTCGTCTCAAATTAATTGTCCACTTTTGACTTTTGAAATCTTTTTTCTTTAACTTTGACCTTAAATAATTTTATTTGTGTTATATATTACTTGATAAAATTTATAACAATAGAAAGACATTTAAAATACAATCAATTCATATATTTTGCATCAAGTATTATCTATCAAAAACAAAAAATATTTAAAGTCAAAGTTGAAGAAATAAAAATTTCAAAAGTCAAATATAGACAATTAATTTGGAACGGAGGTAGTATTATATTTAAACGATCCAAGGCTAAAATTAACAAAAAAAAAAATTATAAAAGCAACCCGATTAAATTCCACAAACAAGCAAAATTTACATGAAAGGAAGGTTCCATTCTTTGTGAAGATGGTCGACCATACTTCGCCGGTGAATTGAAATCCTACAACATAAGACAATCGATTCTGGTAATTAAATTTAGTTAACTCATCTTTATAAGAAAAGAGGGAATGAACACTCACAAAATTTTGAATTGCCTTAAATAACTGCAAATGCCTAATTTTATTGCATTTAACAATTCTGAAAATTTCGTACTAAAAATGGTGGTTATTGTAGTATCTGCCAAGCAGGTTTGCAAAGTCGAATGGATTAATCAATCACAAAAGGATGACTCTTAAAAATGTTGAAGATGAAAGGTCATGGACCGTGGATTTAAAGAACCATAAGAACTCTAATTTCTACTATATAGGAGGATTAGGTTGGAAAGATTTTAGGGTTGCGTATGGACCGAAGAAAGGATATCATTACAAATTCGAGTTGGTCTACAAGGGGGAAAAGCCCATCGGAAACTTTTACATTAAAAAAAATTCGTTGAAGCTACTAGACTTCTTTGATGGGTATAAGTTCGTCAAGCTTTAAAACTTCCTTTCACATTTAACATTTGCGTTATAAAAAAGACTCTAATCATGCTCTTCTTAAACATAATTTGCTATCTGTCTTTCATGAAGGAGCAATAGAGAACACTACTAGAAAACTGGTTGATTTTAGATGGCTCGGAAACTCACTTTAGGGACATATTTAAACCTAAAAAATTTGGTTGAAAAGCATGGGTATTTTCTACGGAAACTAGTATTGAGCGGTTAAATTTTTCTTTGAAAAAATTTATATGTGTATCCTTTGATTGTTAGCCCCCTCAAAACTAATATACAAACTAGTTAAAAATCATGCCTAAATAAGGGGAAAATGTCTCTAAAAGAGGGTAATGTAACACGTCAATGAGTAAATTGGTGGAAAAGAGCAACATAAAACAATATACAAAATAAAGTCAAAGAGGTAGAAAAGAAAGTAGAGGATTAAATAGCCCAAGAGAAGCTTATATGTAATCATGACCGGTCACCGGAAAATAGAGTTATCAGTTTACCGTCGTTGTTGCGCCCTTGCTCTATGTCGATATCCCCCTCGCGGTCGTCGTGTGTAGCCATCGCTGACTTGTTAACAATGACCACGAGATCCGCAGAGGTGGATCGCTATAATCCTCTTAGGAACCATTGAAAACGGGGTAAAATCTGAAAAATGGCAGTCAACTACCAATTCCTCAGAGATATTATAGATCCGCAGAGGTATACAATGGATCTGCAGAGCCACCACTACGGAACCATTATAGCCACGAAATTTTTTTATCATTTAGTGGTGCCACGTCATTTCCTCAGTATTGTGCATCGTTCCTCCGAGGATTAAAGGAATCCGCAGAGCCCTCTCTGCAGATCTTGTGGTCATTTTCCAAAACTCAAAATTTCATGGTTAATTTCTTAAAACACCCTCTAACTTTTGGTTATTTCATTAGTTTTCTCAAAAAGAAATAGGTACACACCCTCTCTCCTCCTAGGGTAAATATTCGTAATATAAACAGACAAATTGACTATATATTCACTCCCTTATATGGGTAAAAGTAATTATACATCATGATGTCATAAAAAGTTTATGATAGAGTTACAATATTTTCAATAATGTTATTTGTAATAACTTTGAATATTGTTATTTTATGTAGTTATGTTGATTAACTTATTATAAGTAATTAATTTGGTTGTTAATCATACTATATCGGTAAGTACATATGTTTTTGTTTGTATTATTTAGTTTAAGGATTCTCGTATAAGCTTTTTAATTCACAACCCTAATAAGGAAATATTTTAATTGTTATTATTTTTTTTCATTGTGTTTTTAGCTTGTATTATTGTCAAAATAACTAATTGTTTGGCAAAACTTATTTGATAATTGCCATTTTATTTTGTTGTTTGTTACATGTTAGTCAATTTCCTTATTGAGTATCCATAAACATGAACAAAAATATCCACTGTAACATAGTGTCGATATGTAATAACTTTGAAACAAATTAAACATTTTTATATAGTTTTCGTTTGAAGTTGTGGTTTCGGCCCCCCAAAATCTAATGTATGTGTTCCGCCCGTGCTACACTCACTACTATTTATAAATATATATGCTAAAAATTGTCAACTTATGTACCTTAGGATATTAAGAAGGAAAAATTGATAGAATATGAGTAAGATATATTACCAGGAGCGACATATCTGATTGTTCCTTTTAATCCAAGTGAATTGGTGTAGCTAGAAGAATCATGTCCACTGCTAGAAAATAGGGGGTTTTCCTATAGAAAATAGATACGGAAAATTTTTGTAGCTAATTAACTACGGAATCGCTACGGATCATCTACAAAATGGGATGCCCTAATATACTAACGGAATAGGTACGGACTAGCGACGAAAGAAAACAACTACATAACAGCTACGAAATACCGACGGATTCATAATTTCCATTATTATTATTATTACTCCCATTATTATTATTTTTCATTATTCGACTCTTAATTTTTTTTTGGATCAATTTTCTTATATATTTAAGACACGAACAATTAAAAATCATCTTAATAATACTATTAATAATAATATTTATAACCATCATAATAATATATAATAATTGTAACAAATGTGTTTAACACACAAACAAATGATTAAACGAAAAAAGCCTACGTTTAACACATCAATAAGGTGAAATAATCTATGTTTAATTTATAAATAATGAAAAATGATTATAATAAAGGGAAATATGCATATTTGTATGTGTATGTATGTATTTATGTATGTATGTATGTGTATGTATTTGTATGTACGTGTATGAGGGTGCGTATGTAAATGTATGTGGGTATGTGTATGTGTGTATGTATATGTATGTGTATGTGTGTATTTGAATGTGTAAGTGTATGCTTATGTGTATGTGTATGTGTATGCATGTGTGTGTATTTGAATGTGTATGTAAGTACATATGTGTATGTGTATGTGTATGTTTATGTTTAGCTATGTGTGTATGTGTCTACATGTAAGGATGAGATTTAAAACCGGAAAACCGGAACCAGAATTGGACCAGAACCGGAACCGTTAGAACCGGAATATATAGAACCGGTTTTGGTTCCGGGTTTAAAAATTGGCTTTATCCGGATTCCGGGTAATCCGGGTTTGGTTCCATCGGGTCTAGGTAAACCGGGTCTAAGAACCGGAACCACTTTTAGGGTTCGGAACCGGTTTCTGTGAAACGTTTAAAACATGCATATCTCATACGTTTTAACTCGGATTGACATATGGTTTTTTCCAACGTGTAGTTTAGAGTTTGTAGATGATTTTAGACTATAAATTTGTCATTTTTAGTTTTATATTTATTGATTTACAGTCCCCCAAAGTTGAGATATAAAAGCTGAAAGTTTTTAGTTTTTCAGCTTTTTTGTGTTCTGTGAAAGTTTTAAAACATGCATATCTAATTCGTTTGAAGTCGGATTGATATGCGGTTTTTTTCCAACTTGTAGTCTAGAGTTTGTACATGATTTTAGACTATAAATTTGTCATTTTTGGTTTAATATTCAATGACTTATAGTCCCCCGAAGCCGGGATATCAAAGCTGAAAATTTTCAACTTTTAAGTTATTTGTTTTTGTACTTTGTATTTTGTGAAAATGTTAACACATGCATATCTCATTCGTTTAAAGTCGGATTGACATGTGACATTTTCCAGAGTGTATTTTAGAGTGTGTAAATGAATTTAGACTATAATTTTGTAAATTTGGGTGTAACATCCCAAAATTCAAGACCAAAAATTTCATTTGTAATATAAGAAAACACTTAATAACTTTGTCCCAAACATTGAAAACATTTCATTTAAAATAAATATCAGAGTCTAATCCCAAAGATCACGTAATGCGGAATAATATGGGTGAATGTGTTGCGATCATCCCGAGCTCCTTATCTGAAAACTAAAGGTATCTGAAACCAAAATTGTAAACCATAAGCACGAAGCTTAGTGAGTTCCCCAAATACCACATACCATACATATCAACTGGGCCATACATGTCACACATACTATGAGCCATACATATCAATCATATATCAAATAAGTTGTTATGTGCCGTACATAGTCTTGCTGTTATGCCACGGGCCGCCACGTGGTCTTTCTTGCCAAGCCGGGGCCACCCCCTGGGTCTTACAGACAAGTGCCAAGAGCCGCCTCCTGGTCTTCCATGCAAGTATCACAAAGACAACTAGCATACATACTACTCTACTTAGCTAATGAGCATAAAATGTGTCAAGAGCCACCTCCCGGTCTTTCATACATATTGCCTAGGGCTAACCCTCGGGTCTTCCTACCATACATAATAACATACTGTGTGCCAGGAGTCGCCTCCTGGTCTTTCATGCATAATGCCTAGGGCTAACCCCCGGGTCTTCCTACTATACATAAACTAAATGGGCCAGCATTGTGGCCGTAGACCCATACACACAGTGAGGAGACTCACCTCACAAGCTGACTGCCGAATCCCGCGAATAAACCCCTCGCTGCTAGCTGGCAGATCCCTGAACTGCTAATCTCTCGACTCCCCGAGCCACTGATCATCATACAACTTAGATAAGTCCGGGATTCTTATAACTTAACCATAAGTCCTCACTGGCGTAGAAGACCACCCCCCTCACATACTCTTGTCTAAATGCCTTCATAAGTCAAACTAGGTCAACCTTGGTCAAAGTCAAAGTCAACAGTTAAAGTCAACGCTCCGAGTTGACTCAACTTGTCGAGTCACCCCCTGACTCGCTGAGTTACCTTGTTACTCCTAGTCACGAAAACATAAACCACCTTGTCGACTCCCTCCTGTACAGAATCGGGACAAACCAACTCAACTCGTCGAGTCCCTCCATGGACTCGTCGAGTTCCTCAGTCTGTTGGGCGTTCTTAATGGATTAAGCCCCTACTCTTCAGATCTAATCTTCCTACTTCTCATATAAACTGAAAATGTCCTTTTAAGCGTAAAGTTTCCAGCTTTACTCGTTAATACTCTCACTTAATGGCTATAACTCAAACCCTAGTCCTTTAAGACTTAGATCTTGATCCAAATTTCACCGATAACTCATGGGGTTGTAGATCTGGACTCTAGGGGCAAGAAATCACGTAAAGCTTTAAGATTTATCTGCATGCATGGCCTTTTGGAGCTAAAAAGACCAAAATAGAGGCTTAGAGGTTGCATGGGACTTCCATGCCATAAAGTTGGCACCTTTATGCCATGAAAGTCCCTCTAGACACTAGATCTGAAGAGTTCCTTTCTTGGGACGTCCAAATCCCAAGAGTCAAGCTTCTATGACCAAAACCCACTAGAAAATGTGCTAAGAAGATCTAAGTACTCAATGAGGAAGGTGGAGACTTTCTTACCTAGAAATGATGAGAAAGGCAAGATGTTTCTGGATCTACTAGCTTCTTCTTGATTCCCCCAAGCTTCTCTTTCCTTCCCAAGCTTCAACACTCACAAGAACACTCAAAAATTGATCACTATAGTATTAGGGTTCGAGATCTAGGGTTTGGACAATG